TTTTTCTACAGTTCTTCATATTTATTTTATAAGAATGACAAGTAAACTAAAAAAAAAAAATCACTCCCTTGACTATTATAGTATACGATTAATTCCTCTGTCTAAAAATTATTGTTTAATTTGATATTCCAATTTTAGTATAATTATAACTAAAAATAAAATCTAAATTGGACAATAATTTTGGGATGAATGGAATATATTTATAGTTTTTCCACAAGTCCAGCAGAGTGAATCAAGTGGGAAAATAGTGTAAGGGGTAAGGTGTGATTATTCCTTCGTCGTTGGGTTTCCATGCAGGTACTTGTTGGTTTTGCTCCACTCTTGTCATACTTCGTCTTTCAAACTGTTCATGAATTATACTCCCTCCGTCCTAAATTTATTGTCCTGTTTAGATTTTTATTTTCAGTACAAATTGAATTAAAAGTGAAAAGTTAAATTGGATCATAATTTTGGAACAGAGTGAGTAATGGAAAAAAATATCTATATAATGTACCCCAAATAAAAAGAAAACATCTATAGTTGACCAATTAACATGAGATACACACATTGGCTCGCTGTTTAATGCTATAGTCAATGGTATCTCCTTGTCAGTTCAGAATTCATCAGATTCTTTCACATTTATCACATCTATACTTTTTACACAAGAATCGCATTTGTCACATCTATACTTTTTACACACAAAATGGTGGTAAAATGCTTAGCCAATAATTAAAAGTAACAAGATAAAATACATTATAAAGTACTCCTTTAGTTCCTTAATATAAGTCATTTTGATTTGTCGTAAGATTCATCTAATATGTAGCTGCCACCCACAACCCCTTCTTCCTCCTCCTCCCATCACCGCCCCTTCTTCCTCATCCCATCCCATCACCTTAGCCACCGATCCTGCTTCCTACTAATCTAGGATGCAACCCATAATCCTTCTTAAACATTAGCCATTGTTGGCAAGTTTGCGGCCCCTTCTGGGCTGTATGGTGGGCGATCAGAATGTGGGACTACTACTGGGGCTCCACGATCCTTTGCTTCTTTATTTTACAAGACAACATAATCAAAATTCGTAGCAAATCAATAGTACCGGCAGGTCCAATTTATCAATGGTTCGCCCGTTCTTGAGATCGAGGATGAAGAGTACGAGTTGGTTGCCCCTCATCGTCTAAGTCCTATGGGGAAATTCTCCTATGGACAGCCAGCCAAAGATAAAGGAGGTGCGAGAGGAATTGAAGAAAGTAGGGTTCAATGGAGGTTTTGACATAGGTCTCATGAACCCTAGACATGGGCTTATTCGTTTTGAGCGAGAAGAGGAGTACCAGTGATGCTGGATTAGAACATTATGCAACGTCAAAGGGTATCAAATGAGAATCCTAAAATGGCAGCGGTGTTTTAAATTTAAGGAGGATCCTTCGATGGTACCCATTTGGGTGTCACTAAATGAACTGCCGATAGAATTCTTGAATCCAGAAATAATCTTCTCAATAGCTACTGCAATTCAAAGCCACTTCATGTTGATACTCGAACGCTGAATATGTCTCGTCCATCAGTTGCTAGATTTTGTGTAGAGGTTGATTTGACAAAGGAGTTTCCAAACTCAAGATTGCGAAAAGGGGAACACACACGAGCAGTATTTCACATATGAGCACATCCTAGCGTTTTGTTACAAATGTAGGGAAATTTGCCATAGAGATGCAGACTGCCGACAAGGAAAACCAATTCAACAAGTGTGAGATGAAAAGAACTCCATAAATGATAAGCAACTGTCCAAAGAGCCAAAAAGAAAAGGGATATTAATCAAGCAAACGCTAAAGTGGCAGCCTAAGCCAACCAAGTCGGTTGTAATAAGTGATTTGAAAGAAGCAGAAGTGCAAAAGACAATCAATTCATCTACAGAGTAAAATCAAATTTCAGACAATTTTGTTAACGCAATTGAGCCAACGAACAATGTGAGCGAACATGAACAGAATGAAGGCAACAACTTGGAGGATGGACAACAACATTCTGATCTACAAGAAAATCAACAAAACCACCTCGCTATTTTGTCATCAGAGCCGGAGAAAACAAATCAATTCTAACTTTGGGTAGAACTAGAGACTTTAGAGGAAACTAATGAGTGTGTGGACAACGAAGACGATTTAGACAAAAAGGTTGCGGAGAAACTCAAATGGAAGAAGATCTAGATCAGAGCTATCGAATAAAACAACCTGCTGCCTTGTCAACAGAGTCGGTGACAACAAGTCAGTTCCAAATTTCGACAGAGGTAGCGACTGTGGAGGACATTAATGACAAAAAGGAATATTCAGATGAAAAATTTGTTGTAGAATCTATGGAAGATCCACTTATTGAAATAGCAGTCTAATACGAATCTTGAGGCAAAGGTGGCAAATTTACCTCGAGTGGAAGCTATAAATATCCCAGGACTTGAAAACTTGTAAATCATATATTATGAACGCCAATACTCACGAAAAATAAAAGAAAAGAATAGATGCAAACCACAAAAATTTGCACCAAAAAAGGATGGAAATTAAGGTTTAGAGGATGTAGAAAGTATTTAAGGCTAGCAACCCAATCGGTCACCTCTCTAACAACCCTATCCCTTTGATTTATGGATAGAACGGCTAGAAAAAGGCTCTAATGAACAACTAACAAGCTCCACAAGTAGAAAAACACCTATTCTACTCGCATGCATCAACAAAGCACAAGTTTGTGTGCAATGCAACTAGTCTTCGAAAAGAATAGAAAAAGAACAAAGAGTTTCCTCTCGTCTCATATTCAAATATTAAATTCATCAAAAGGTATCTTTAAAATGCTGGCCAAGCACCCCTATTTATAGTAGAGGGGGCCGAAAATTCTCCTAACAATTAGGAAAAGTGTTTGATCTCTAACACTATTCCTACTTTAAAGAACTAGAAATCAACTTAACCTCTAATTGACAACTTCTGTCTTGTCTAAGAGACAACATATCTAGACACCTTTATAGACTTAAGAAACACTAGTCTAACGAAAATAAAACTCCAAATACAAAGAGATATTCTCTCAAAAGAATCTTATACTTATCTTGAAAAGAATCTTCCTAAGTTATCAACTCTATCAATATCTTCTTTGTAGAGTAATCATAGCCATCCAATCTTGATCTAATCTTCATCCAACGGTAGAGAGTAGACACTAATGAATAGACTTCTTATTTTGAATAAACTCTAAATTAGATAAAAGAGAATCATATCAAATCTTATCCCTCCATGTGATAAGATTTAAATGATCTTATCTTTAAAAGATAGGGATCTTCCAAATCTTATTCTTCCACAAGCGTGATAAGATTTAAATGATTTTATCCCTAAAAGATAGAGATTCCAACTCCTAAAAATCAGGAGATAGAGCCGGCCTCCATTGCTTGGTTTGTGGGCCAAAATTTCCTTCCTCAAATGGGCCTTGTAACACGTAAATAATCTTGGGCTTATAACTTCCAGACTTGACATTCTCTTGGGCTAAACCATTTGATATAAGATTATTAAGTGCACTCTTCATTCTTTTACTTCTAGCTCGAGTCATTGGGCCTCCAGTGCTGGATAATGGATCTTGAACCACTCTTTGAGCTTGGACAGTACTTGGAACCCGAACACCTTGATCATCTTGGACTTGATTACCATGGATGTTCACATCACAGTCACTCTGATTTCTGATGAGGATCAATTCACAAGGAAGTGTGGTTTGAAAGTCGATGAGGCAAATAAAAATGCAACACTCTTTGAGCTTGGACAGAACTTGGAACCCGAACACCTTGATCATCTTGGACTTGATTACCATGGATGTTCACATCACAGTCACTCTGATTTCTGATGAGGATCAATTCACAAGGAAGTGTGGTTTGAAAGTCGATGAGGCAAATAAAAATGCAACACCAGCACAAAAAAAAAAAAATTCAGATCGGAACAAGCAGCTCATTACAGAAAACAAAGCAAAGTTTGAAAAAACTACTTAGTCAAATTGAGAAGGGTGTTGAACCAGATTTCATTCTGCTCGTAAAGAAAAAAAAAAAAGTTTAACACAACCGCAAATCCTACAGTTCATCGTTTAGAAAGACTCAACAAATCCACTCAAGAGAAACTCCAATGCTCTCAGGACAAGCAGGTGCAGAATCAACAATTCTTGCACTGGTGAGTTAACAATTCTGTTGAACATTATTTCCTTTAACATTTTAATTCTTGTACTGTTAAAGATGGTAAGTCTCACTTCACTGTCACCTTCTTTTAATTTTATTTAAATTTAAATAAAACGGGTTATATCCCCACCAAGCATCGCCTGTTTTGAAAAAAAAAAAGTGTAACTGTTGAAATCTAAAAAAAAATTAAAATTCATCTAATACGTATTTTTAATTGAAAAAAATTTTAAAATTTTTTTATAATAATTAGGAGTTAACAACAAATGAGAAAATATGTTTTAAAATTTTTTTCATCAATTAAAAATATATCATTGTTAAGATTTCGGACAAATCAAAATGAGTTATACTAAGTACTGGAGAGATTATAAGATAACCCAATCGGAGCTAATTTCTAAGTCAAAGAAGCCAAAAAGGATCTGCCTATTCTGCCCTTAATTATGGATTTGAACTGTTAATGTTTTAAGAAACGATGAATCCTGCAAATGATTAACAAATTAATATAGTTGACTTCCATAGATGAGCTTTAATTTGTAGCAGCAAATATAGACTCCGGTATGGTATACTTTCTCCCGTTTTTAATATAAGATATTTTAATTTATCTTAAATTTCATCTAAAATGTATTTTCAAATGATGAAAAAAATGTTAAAAATATATTTTTACATTCGTTGGATTGTCCTAATTATTAAGAAATATTTTTAATTTTTTTTCTAACTAAAAATGCATCATAGATAAAACATAGGACAATCAAAATGACTTATATTAGGGACTGGAGAGAGTAGTTCCTTTCTTTTGTTAATTCCCTTTTTCTTTCTTCTATTGTTTTTCCAAATAAATAAATTAAATGAGTTGGGAACAGTTAAAAGCTTATTATGATATGTACCAAATTTGATGATCGTTTGAACAAGAATGGAGAAAGAGCACCAAAACTTCGTAAATTTTCCATCACTCATAGTTACCTTCTTATCCTTGTTCATAGTATTGTTGTTCATCATCATTTATCATCATCATCAGAAACGCAGCAAGATTAATCATCGGCGGCAGCAGCTTCCGGCAGGAAGAACCGGGTTCCCCATCCTCGGAGAAACAATGGATTTGGTAACATCCGGGCCGGAAGTATTCATCCGGGACAGGATGAAAAAATACGACCCGACCCGAATGGTATTCAGAACCTCATTGCTGGGAGAGAAAAACATGGCGGTGTTTTGCGGGGCGGAAGGGAACAAGTTCCTCTTCTCCAACGAGAACAAATGTATCAATCCATGGTGGCCGGCAACGTTTACTAAGCCATTAGAGTTCCCTCTTCCTAAAGGGTGGACAGTGGCCGATGCGGCGCGGACGGCCCGGGTTTTCCTTCTCGAGTTCCTGAGGCCCGAAACCTTCCGAACATGGATTCCTACAATGGATTCCATGATCAGAAGACACATCGAGAATGAGTGGGCACCTAAAAATGAAGAGATCGAAGTTTACCCAGTATCTAAGAAGATTGTGTTTTCACTTGTGTGTAGGGTTTTCTTGGGCATGAAGGATGAAAAGAATGTTGACATCTTGAAACGGGATTTTGATATGATGTTGACTTTTTTGTTTTCACTGCCCGTTGACTTGCCCGGAACGGCCTACAACAAAGCTATGAGAGCTGGCAAAAAAGTGAAGGAAGGGATATTGAAGATGGTTGTTGAAAAAATTCAACAGGGTCACGTTGACGATGATGATGGTGGTGATATGGATCTTTTGACTCACATTTTGTTCAGATCAAAAAACTACGACAAGACTTGTATTAGGGAAAAAGACGTTTGCAATGTTTTGACTGGTGTTCTACTTGGTGCTTATGATGACATCTCCGCTGCGGCCACTTTTGTGATCAAATATCTTGCACAACTTCCCGATATTTACGACCAGGCTTACCGAGGTAAAATCTTTACCCCTTTCTCGATTGATTTTTTTCATGATGTAGACAGTAGATCGTATGTGTTGGACAATGAATCCTACATCGCCTATTATCAGAATCCGATACCTGTTTATAAATTTTTTATATCACTCTACTTATTACCTATCAGTTTTGAAATGGAAGTGTAAATAATTTTTTTGACATGGTATCAGAATCAACCTACGGGGTTATATTCTATTTCTGTTAAACGACCTAATCGGAGAAATAGAACCGCGGCCGGAATTTGATCGACGTAGTAGACTTTGACTCATGGGTGGCTATGTTTGTCGTGTCATTTAGCGAAAATTCAATTATAATCGCGTGTAGACGATGCGTATTATAGTTTTAATAATCGCATATACATGTTTTTCCAATATTCTATATATGTAGAGTGCATGGATATTGCTGGCTCCAAAGTTGAGGATGAGTTGTTGACTTGGAATGATATCCAGAAGATGAAGTATTCCTGGAACGTGGTACGGGAAACCATGAGGTTAATGCCCCCGGCGCCAGGAGCATACGGTGAAGTTGCAAGTGATCTTAGTTTCCAAGGTTTAACCGTTCCCAAAGGATGGAAGGTAATTTAACGATTCACATATTTTATTCTCTCAATTACATAAAAAAAAAATAGTTCGCATTGAGTTTTCTAATATTTACTGAATAGAACTCTTTTTTCTTTTTCTTTTATTGCAAATACACACATTAGAACGCATGACTTTACACTGATAGTCATATTGATTCATTATTGGTTTTTTTGTCATTTGCACAAATTACCCAGATCAGTAATTTTGTAAGAAGAAACATATACCAATAATATATTTCTTTTAACCCCTCATCGAAAAATGAGCAATTTGATAATAATTATGCAGACATTTTGGAGCGTGTATTCAACGCATAAAGACTCCAAATACTTTCCAAACCCGGAGGAATTTGACCCATCAAGATTTGAAGGAAATGGACCGGCACCATACACCTACGTACCTTTTGGTGGTGGAGTTAGAATTTGCCCTGGAAGAGACTATGTTCGAGTGCAGATACTTGTTTTTATGTATAATGTGGTCACCAGATTTAAGCTGGAGATAATTGATCCCAATGAGAAAGTAAGGTATCAGATTACCCCTTTCCCTGAACATGGTCTTCCGATCCGGCTCGTACCCCACGTTAACAGAGAAACAACATCAATGCAGTGAAAGAGACTCTCACTATCCTCTCTGTTGGGGTAAGTACATAGTTTCAAAATTTAGATTTATTACTTGATTGGTTTGTCTGGAAAGACTAAAAACAAGAACATACATTACGAAGTACGACCAAAACATAGATAGAAGATGTGCCCTGTGTTTGATGGCAAATGAAACGATTGAGCATCTCTTTTTCGACTGCCTAATCTCGATACAGATTATCACTAATGCAATGGTCCTAATTGGAATATCTTTCTCAGCATTTCAATAGTCCAGCATCAAAGAGATTTTCATAAGAGACTATGGCTCGAGTTCTGGTAGGGATGCATGGCATCATCAGGGGACTACTTGCATCTTCTGTTTATCACATTTGGGAAGCAAGGAAATGCCCAATTTTGATATCTCAACCTTTATCAGAATATGAAATTATCTTTTCTTTGAAAATAAAGCTCTCCACAATCAAGAAGATGAAGAATAGAACTTTTGGTGAAGAATGATAAAGATTTCACCATTATTTGTCTAATTATTCACCTTGTATCTTTTGCTTGTCTGTATTCTACGTTACAACAAGACTCTAGTATAGATATATTCCATTGATGGAATTTCGATATGCAAATGAGTGATGTTCTAAATCCTTTTGTTCTTGGAATGAAAACACAACTTTCATAAAAAAAAAAATAAAAATAAAAAAATCAATGTATTGAATATCTGATCTGAGTAAAATTGGCTACAACATGTGTTACTTCAAGATCATCTCACTTTTTTCCTAAACTATGTCAACCCATTTTTTCTATAAAGAAAGAGCCCAAGAAAATAATCCTACCCAAATCCATTATCTAAGATTCTACAGTTCTCATCTTGGGCCTGACCCATAGCACCGTTGACGATTCAGGACGGTCTTCATTCTAGGACAAAGGGAGTTTTGTTTTTTTTAAAAAAAATACATTGTTTTAAAAAAAAATACATCTTGATACAGGATCACAAGGTAAGCAATATTTATTAGTAATCTTAATTTGTTTCTAAGAGTATTTCCATTAACGAGATTATCTTTGTTATACTCTGGATTTTAATATCAATTCATTAGGGTGGGCCGACCCGATGATGAAAAGTAGTGTGTTTATTATTACAGACCAACAAAAAAAAAAAAAAACTACAGATAGTGATTGTTTTCAACGAAGTGACATACGTTAATTTTTCTTCTTCTTCTTCCCCCACCAACCCCCCCCCCCCTTCCGACAATTCCTTTTGGTTTGGGTACAATTTTTGCCATTTTTTTGAATTTTGAAATAAAGAAAGAGGCAAATGTCTAGACTCAAACAATTACATTTTTGTAGACGAGATATATATCACCTAAATAAACAATGAGGCTTCAATCATACCACGGAGATGATAATAAGTCGCTTTATCATTATCATGACGTTAAGTGAGAACATTGTCCGTGCTGGCTTAAAAAATTTTAGTGGGATACCAAAATGTATCTGAATTTTCTCCCGCGCGTAGATGTTAATTTAACATGTACTTGGACGATCTGAAAATATTTAAGAAGGTGATTAAGACTTCGATTTCTTAATAACAGATTTTAGTTCAACCAGAAATGGGTTTTCGAAATAAGACAAAAAAAAAAAAAAAGAGTAAAAAATGATGTCGATATATGTAACTGATAAAAGAGGACATGTAGCGACATTGCAAAAGGATGTGTAGTGTGAAAAACTAAATATACTCAAGTATAAATATGTTCATCTGAGGCTTCTTAGGTCTTATTATAGGTTGCTAGTTATGTATGGTTCTCATTTCTGGTAGACGTATCTTTAACGTTTGAAGTAACAGAAGATTTTTTTTTCCAAGTTATGTGATATTTGTCATTTGTGATAATTGTTTGTCTTTATAAGTAGTACGTACAAAACTCAAGTTTGAGATAATGTTTGCTGAAACAAGGAAGAAAATAAGTTGTTGAAGGTACTACTACTCTTCTATATAAATAACACTAAATTTTTGTTTGAAACGTCTGTTAGAGTACATACCTAATGAACCCAAAACATTAATATGAAATGCAATACATGATAAATTCCATTTTTCAAAAAGATTATAACTGATGGAAATTCACGTTTCTAGTAAAAACGCCTCAATGTTTAAGACATTAGGTGTATTTTTAATTCTAATAAGAGTTGTAATGTCATCGGGTCGAAAAGTTACTGGTAGTGGAAGAACCGTATAAGTTATATAAAACGTATTTTTATAAGACTCTATTCTGTTTAGTCTATTGTTTTTGTTTTATTAACATATACTGTATGTGAGGTTTCGGGCAAAAGAGAATGTGTAAGTTAGTTAAAGTGTGGCTTCTTAAACTCTATTCATTCATATTATGGTTTACAAGTCTTTCTCTGATATAGTTGTAGGTAAAAAAGAGAGATGATTTTGAGAAACTTTGCTAGGCAAACAAGCCAATTGTTATTCTACTATACAAAAATTTTAGAGAACCCATATTGTTTCAGCACCGAATAATAGAGGAGAAGTTCTCAATCATAAAGCAAGTTACAAACAAAGTAATAAGGTAACTAGTTAATTAAGCACACAAACACTCACTATCATTATTTACAATAGTAGAATTGTTACATTTCCATTTCTCTCTCTGGCTCACTTCCATGTGACGGGTGTGATGTCAATTGTACATAGAAAAGGCAGTAACTATAAAGAGGAAAGCAGAAGCGTGGCTCGGAGTTGATAACGTGTAATACCTTCTCATTCCCAAAATTATTATCTAATTTGGATTTTTCATTTCAGTACGGTTTGAGCTAAAAATAAAAATCCAAACTGGACAATCACTTTGGGACGGAAAGAGTACATGTTAACAGGCGAAAAGTTAAAAGACGTTTTACTTTTAGGAGACATGGTTTTTGTGAAAACGATATATACATAATAGGAAGGACTTAATTGGACATGTAATCTGATTTGCTTATAAATAGGACCGGAGGGAGTATATCAGTATAAGAGAGATTTAGAGTTAAAACCAAAACCAAAAAGTATAGCCAAAAAACTCAAAGGGCATCAATGGCAGTCTCGATGTCAGACATTCTACTGTTTCTTCTTTCTGTAACAACCTACGTTTTATTTCTGTACAGTACAAAGCTTTTCTTGAGACGAAGAAATTCTGAAGAGCTAAAGCCGATTCCCCCTGGAAAAACAGACTGGCCATTCTTCAGGGAATCCCAGGATTTATACTCTAAAATGCAAGGAAATGCCGTCCATGAATTTGTCCTGGAAAGGTGCAACAAGTATTCCTCAAAGATTTTCAAGACATCCGTGATGGGACAGACGGTTGCAGTATTTTCCGGCGCAGAGGGTAACAAATTCCTGTTTTCGAACCAGCCGGAATTGTTAACTCATTGGGTCCCAGGCTACATAACAAAGCTCTTCCCCAGTGGAAATGATGGAATCAAAGATGATGCTAAGCAGATTCTTGCCAAGCGTCTGTTCTTCAAGTCCACTCTCAAGGGAGATGCGCTTAGATCCTACGTAAGGATTTTCGACGCCACCGCGAAACAACAACTATTGACGGTGCAAACGGACTGGATGAAACCTGAGGAAGTGAGTGAAATGGCAAGGAGGTACACGTTCACATCCGGGTGCAAGATCTTTTTAGGCATAGGCGACAAAAGAAAGATTGACGAACTTGAAGAGTATATAAACATGGTGGAAATCGGGCTTACTTCAAAACCAATCAATCTTCCAGGAACTGCATTTCATCGCGCCATCAAAACATCAAAGAACTTGTTCAGGGAGCTTGGGGCAATAATCAGGCAGAGGAAAACAGAGACGACTAATTGTTCATCTTCAGGGGATGAAGATTTTGATTTCATTTCGCAGTTGATTCAATCTTCAACGCGAGATAACCGCCACGGCCTAATGCTCGGCGAATCACAAATGGGTAGTTTTTTAGCGGGTCTTCTTATGGGGTCCTATTCAGGTTTACATACCACAATCACCCAAGTTATCAAGCATCTTGCAGAGTTTCCTCAAGTATACCAGCTAGTTCTGAAAGGTAAGATCTTGATTTTTTTTAGTTTCCTAAATTCCTGTAAGTTCTTTAAATTGGATTGATATCGGACCTGTCTGAGTAAAAATTTTCAGAGCAAGAAGAAATTGCAAGTTCCAAGGGAGTAAACGAAACACTCCAATGGGAAGATGTAAGGAAGATGAAGTATTCCTGGAACGTTGTCTGTGAAACCTTAAGATTATCAGCATTAGGAATAGGTGGATTTAAGGAAGCTGTCAATGGTTTCGAGTATGGAGGATATACCATCCCTAAAGGATGGAAGGTAAGTTTACCATCATGCCTACAAATTTCATCATTATAACACATCTTGAACAGCTTAAAAACAGGATTAATGTCATTTACCTCTTTTTATTTCACATACAGAGATATGCATAATTATTTCGTGTGTATACAGTTACAATGGAGCGCAGCTGCCACTCATCGGAACCCGGAATACTTTCCAGATCCTGACAAGTTTGATCCGTCGAGGTTTGAAGGAGATGGTCCAGCGCCTTACACATTTGTACCATTTGGAGGTGGCATTCGCATGTGCCCTGGAAATGAGTATGCAAGATTCGCAATCCTAGTTTTTATTCATAATGTGGTCATAAATTCAGCTGGAACAAGCAAATTGCTCCCACCAAAATTAGGCGCCGTTGCATGATCCGCTCTGAAGATTGCCCCCCGGCCAATAAAATCTGCAGTTTTCCCGAATCCTCAAAACCATAAGCGCCGCAGCCATCATAGTAAGTATCTTGTTTAGGGGTCGTAATTTAAGGTAGTGATCAGCTACTCTAATCTCCTACCAGTTAGCAGTAATAGCGTAATACTGTTGTGTGGGTAAATTTGTACTGTTCTGAATGAGTCCCTCCTTTCCAAACAAGGATTTGTGGGAACAATTTGACCAAATGGGCTCTCAGTTTGGATCTCCTTAACTGATTGTGCACATTGAACAATTTGTAGTTCTTCAAACAAATTAGTGTTGAAATCTTCATATATAGTTTTTTTTTTTAATGGACTCTATAATTCAAAATAAATTGAGTAATGTAAATGGGTAAGTTCGCATAATTTTTTTTAATGGACTCTGACTGATGATGATGCATTTGTAGATGAGGTTATTTGGATTTCAGATATGGAATATCTGGACTCTTAAAGGGTCACGAATTTGGATTATTACAGAATCCAAAAAAATCTGTGTCTCCGTCGGAATCAAGATATTCCATAACTGTAATCCTAAATGTTATGGCACTGATGGATTGCATCAAATGTGAAAATAATTTGCACTCTTATCACTATACCATTCGGAGCCCAACTCAGATCTAAACTGATGTCTCCTCTTCTCCGTCTTCAACAACATCTGAGGAGAGCATACACTACATTAGAAGAAGATCAGACCTAATTTCCTTTCCAAAACATGATGAGAGGAATAACAATGTAGGAGTTCAAGATCGATGTGACCAAGAAAAAAGTAAAGAGGGGACGGAGGAGGAGAGTGTTTCTCTGATGAGGTTTAAGTTTAGCCTGCCAATTTGTAGGGAACAGGCGTAAAGGAGATCGAGGCTAAGATCAAATTTATTCTTATTAGGGTTTACTCTCTCAATTCAAAAAAAAAAAAAATCACACTGGATTTCAAATATGCCCATGTTTCACCAACTATCCCCTTAAATTTTTATCCCTACTACAGATACCTTTACTACACAAGTTTTATGTCAAGGGGGCGTTGTGATCTTTTTCTATTTATTTTGAGGTCAAATTACATTTTGTGTCAAGGGACACGAAGTGTTGTTGGGCAGTTTAGACTAGGGTTGTCAACGAACCGACTCAAACCCAAATACTATAGTGTTTGAGTTCGAGTTCGTGTTCGTAAAAAATTTTGATGCTCGTATTAGGGATCTAGTTCGGTTGAATACCTAAATTAAGACTTGAGCTTGATTTAAAGGGAAAGAACCTTTCGTATTCAATTCGTGTTCGGTTCAATTATTTCGAGCATGGATGCTCGATAAAAGATTGGCTCGAATATTCGATATGCTTTCACTGATTTTCACTCTATCATATTTAGTAGTCCCACATTTATACAAACAGTGCACCAAGTTTAATAGCATTAAAGATAAAATTTCCCAAGTACATATAGTAAAATGAAAACAACAAACTAAAAGTTGTTGTTCTTCTTCTTCTTCTTCCTTAAACTAAAAGGGACCATGGAATTTGAAAGGGGTCAAAGAGTTTGCAGAAACAATCAGATTACAAGATCTAATTACAGCTAGAATGAATTAACATCCCAGGTCTCAAAAATCAGATTACAAGATAATTAAACGGAGGAGAGAGATTAGAAATTGACTATATATTGTACTAATATAATAAAAAAAAAATACCATATCTATGTATAAGCTCGAAAAGGCTTGGCGAACTCTCGAATCAAGTATCTTAGAGCTCGTGCTCGTCTCGTCTATGTGATTGAGTGGCTCGAATTTGACTCGAGCTTGATTTTGACCGAGTTCGAATCAAGCTTTGACCGAGTTTCTCGCAAGCTACTTACGAAGTACTTAGTTCATTGACAGCCCTACGAGTTGCTAACAAGAGTTAATGATTCGAACAATGGGCTGGGTGTGACTAAGATGAGGGAAAGATAGCTAAGGGAGGTTGAATATACAAGTCACAGGCTAAATTTTTTAAGGAAAGATCGTGCGACTGTAATGCTTGAAATAACCAACAATCAGGTGTTATTCGAGCCGTATACCCTCAAAAAAAATGTAAGTTATGAAAATAGTTAAAGGGCGGAAGGTTAGAACGCTTAGAAAGTAAAGAAACGGAAGAGAGCTTGAAGAATACTTGCAAACAAAACTCAAACTTATGATGGACTTATAAACGAGGGACTTTGGGTATTTATAGGCATGAGCCCATAAGTCCAGAGAATTATAGAGAAAATGGTTAAAAAATGGCTAAGATCTTGTTTTATCACGTCACTAATATTTAAAATTATTTGATTAAGTATTTTTTAATTTAATATGTTTGATAACAAATGAATCCTTTAATGAAATAAGTGGTGCTAAAATTAAAGTATTAAATAGAAGCAATAAAAATTAGCTAATTACTTGTTCTGTAACTGTTTAATGATGATTTCAACATTCTTGATTTCGTATTAAGCATTCCGAATTAAACAATAATTTTTATCAGTAGACCCTAAGTCCACAATTCTAAAGATTTCAGCTATCCCTAAAAAATTATAACCGGTCCCGGCCTATTTTTAGGCCTGATTCTAAATTCTTCTGCACAATTTCACATGACTCCATAATTTTCTGGGTCATTCTAGAGAATTTCAACCGTGTGAATTTGAATCGAGATTTGTACATGCTCTAGAAACTCCTGTCTCTCGTTCCGCTAGAGAAAATCAATTCATTCTTAGCAAATCCATAAAACTACTAGGGAAGATCCGTATACCAAAAACGAAAAAATATTGCTGTGTTATAAGGAAGTAGGTGGTTACAAATAAGTTACAAACTGTCTAATGAGTAAGTTATTTTTGTAATTTGAATTTGTAGGTCATTTAATCAGTTTTATTTACTCCCTCCATTTTGAAATATATGTCGTTTTAGAGTTAGGTGATTTTTTTTAAAATATATGTTGTTTTCACAAATCGAGGCACATTTGACCACTTTTTACCAATATTACCCTTGCATTGGAAATGAAACAATACTTATAATGAATTTCTATTGGTTTGTGATGAGTTGTATAGAAAATAAATAAGGGTGTTTTTGTATTTTAACTGCATTAATCAATATCTTCTTGGTTTTGATGAATTCTCTAGAAAGTCATATAATAAAAAATGGAGGGAGTACTATTTTATCTTACGTAGTTAGAGATGTCAACTACATCATTTCTATTAAAAGAAATGTAGAAAGGCTGAAAATATGTGAGAGAAGACAGGGCATAAGAATGCTTTGAGTCTTGAGATCTTGAGAAAGAAGTCTGATTCGAAAGTAGATTTGTGTGGGGAAATAATCAACTTCGAAAATTATTAGGTTTTGGGTCTCATTTGAGATGGGAGTCTCTTATAATTATGTTGAGTAATAAGATTACAAAAGATTGGGACTTCAATTCAAAATATATAAATTTCGTGTGCCTCGAAACATGTTCTCGGTACGTTGCTGGTAGAATCCATGCCAGTTAGCCTCGATGTTCGAATTAGGAGGGACTTTGGGTGCGAACACTCGTAGCAGTAAGGCTGATGGATTGAATGAAAAACACGCATGATTTTCCTTCTCTTTCTAGAGAAAGAAGATGCAGAAGGATTGGTTCAAAAATTACTTCGTGTAGTGGCTGAATTGTTAGCTGAAAATTTTATTCAAATATAATAAGATTATAATAACTATGGCTGTTTATTTTAATGGGATAGATCCATTAAGAATAATTTAGTAATTTACCTACATCCCTCCATTCCAAAATAAGTGTCATTCTATAATTTACACATAGTTTAAGGAACTCTTAAATAGGGTAATAAAATTACTTGAATATCCTCAACCAACCCCATTAAAAAATATCTATCAATAGTATTAATTCTTTCGAGGGTAATTTTGTAAACTTTGGACAAAAAGTACATTGAAATGTGAGAACGACACTTATTTTGAAATTTCTCCATTTTGTTAAAACGACATTTATTTTGGAATGGAGGGAGTAGTATTTAAAGTGTTTTTAAACCGTGTAAAAGTTGTCTAATTTAGTGACACCTACTGTAGAATATGAAAGGAGAAGTACTTTTGTTTCTCTGAAACCAGCATACATTGAAAACAACACAGACCAGTGAGAATGTGTTAACAACATGGAAGACAAGCTTTAAACATAGGAACAGAACGAGGCGGAGCCTTGGAGGAATCAAAATACGTTGTTGAATGTACTCCTAATTAACTAAAGGCACCTTTAAACACATAAACATAGATTAAGAAATACTCCATCCGGTATTTATTAGAAGGCATTTTGATTTTGTCCAAGGTTCCATCTAAGATATTTTTTTAATCGAAAAAAACCTTAAAAATATATTTTCACACTCGATGTGTTCTCTTAATTGTAAAAAAATATTTTTAAAGTTTTTATTCCAATTAAAATGACATTTTAAGTGAAACTTAAGACAAAATTAAATTGAATTATAATAAGGACCGGAGGTAGTAAAATATTGTAAATGCTTTCATTAGATAGAGTATGTTTTTTTTTTGTTTTCCCAATTAACTCGTGTCTACTTTCCATCCCCTTGCTTTTCAGTTTTCACTCTTCAGTTTTTCTAGTTCTTCTACTACTTCTTCTCCACTGTCCCTCTGACAACCAAGAACTGTAAAGAACATAAAAAAGGAAAAATAAGTTCTTCTTTTTTGGACCAGAAGGAGAGAGGAGGAGTCGTTCTTTAATCTGCTCAATTAATAGAACTTGGTAAGTACCTATATCTTCATTTGCATTTCTTATATTAATTAATTCCCGTTAGCTGCATATATACAGAGGTATAGAAGAACAATATTTTGGCTTTTTTTTTTTCCCCTTCCGTTTTAGTTTTTAATGATACCGTATAATACTAGATCTTGAGATATTGAATAGAGTTTTCAATTGAGGCTTTGTTTTGTTGACTGGGGTTTGATGATGTTAGATTCTCAAAATTTTCAGATGCTCAAGAGAAGATGTCAATATCCGTAGAAGTATGTTTGCATTGATTGATGTAGACATTAGAAGCTTGAATAGAAATTATAGAATTATTAGAATCAAAATACATCTCCATTATTCTGGTTAAAACTTGAAATGCCACTAACATTCAGATACTTAAAAATCTATCATAGAAGAAAATGAAAAAAAAATAAAAAATGATTGAGATGTTACACATAAATTTCAAACAGTTTGGAACAAATAGCAAATGGTAAAGGATTGTAAACTACGGTTATAGTTGAAAGAAATTAAAGTTCTGTTAAACTGTCTGAGTGTTAAGTTTCTGCATAAAAATGAGCAAAAAGTCCAAGTAGTGGAGTTAAGAATATTAAGATGAATGTGTTGGCATAGTTTATTTGATAGCATTAGGAATGAGTATATTACAAAGCATTGGAAGTAGTATAGCGACAGATGACAACATGAGAGAACCACGCTTTAAATTGTTCGAGCATTTGCGTAAATGACTGGCAGATGCTCCAGTTGGGTTAGTAACAAAACTAAAATCATTTACATACGATGAATAGGGGAAACAGAAAATTTACCGAGAAAAAATTTGGAAATGAAAGTACTAAAGATGACATGTCATACTTGAATGATATTGAAAGTATGTGGCTTGAGCAATCCAGTGATATCTGATATTTGTAGATTCATTTAGTCCAGAAAACATTTTCTATGCAGATAAGCTAACGGTGAGTGAGTTCATTACGAGATGGTGTACCATGTGTTTCCAAACTAAAAAAGAAAGAAAAGAAAATACTTAATCTTAATTTAACTGAAAATTAGAATGGTGATTGGATACCGAGTGTATTTTACTTTAAAATATTAGGCGTGCCCTTATTCATTAATTTTACCAAAAAAAGAAGTAAGAAAAATTATTTTGTTGGCTCTAGCTAGGTCCCTCATCCCCTCTACTAATTTCGTCCATGCGTTTTCAAGTATCAACCGAATTCTGATGTTTTCATAAACTATTATCCTCAGTGTACACTAACGTAACACTATTATCGTTTCATCCTTAATTTTGACAGCTGTTGAGAATATTCTATGGAGAATTTCCTTCAAAATGTCTTTGATGATCTAGAGTCAATTGGTAGCAAATTTCCGGAGGATGATCCATTCGTAGTTGTACAGCTCATGAGATTATTGAGATGTGTGAAAATGTTTTACTTTTGTGGAAGGACGAAGTGGATTGCCAATGTGCTGTGGGAATCTGCCTTGTGTACAATGGTGGAGACTATTCACAAACATTCTCTGGAGATTCTGTTTCTTAGTCTCAGATTGAGGGAGGATGGTGATGATCCGCTGACATTTTGTGAAAGATGGGAGGACACGATTGATAAATTTCTCGAGCCAATTCATGAAGAGTCAATGGGACCAAGATTTGAGGAACTGCATCAGATCTTCTCAGATTACTCGTTGCGAACAAACTCTTCTATTCGAATGAATATGGAGGAACTTCTGGATGCAATAGACTGCCTTCTTACATTTTTGCAAGGTTTTTATAATCTTAAGGACCTCGAAGAAACTATAAGATTCTTGAAGAACTTCGTTCTCTTTGCCATGTTACCAGGAGTTGAACATGGACATATGGGAGATCTTTTGATTCACGTTGAAGAATTGCTTTTTGATGCTGCAAGCTACATGTTCTTGCTTTGGCTAGATGTTGACTGCTCTTCTAGTGCGAACCAACTTTGGCGAAATCTTGAGCCAGTTGAATCCCACGTTTGTGAGATTTATGTTGGAGTCTTGCGCCAAGTTTCCAAATTGTCACCTTCATCCAACCATCCCATTCAAGGCAGACATGCATTGGTGTTTGGAAACTTTGTTGATTCTCTCATTTTTCTTCTTTTGATGTTATTATTCTGCGGTACAAGGTTTATAGACATCTTTCTGCTTCGAATGAATACACTATGTGAGGAACTAAGATTCTTGAGAACCACTCTCAGAGAACACATTGATAAGGTTCATGAGTTAAATGAGAGGACTCATGATCTCATTGCACCTATGATTTGTGAGGCCGGAATTTTAATTTTCCATCTATTCCTAGCAAAAGGAGATGAAGAAAGTCTGGTTGAAAAACTAGAGCTTCTTTTTAAAGATTTGGAGGAAAAATTAAAGCGTATCAAGTTGTCAGAAAATGAGAGACCAGGAAATACTCTAATCTCTACATGTCCTCAGACCAACTTGTTAGGGTTCATTGATTTGGTGTTAGAAAAAATGAAGTCATTCCTTCTTTTTAAGAATGATTCCATATTTTCTTCAGAACAGCAAAAGTTTCATTCTGTGTATGATGATCTCTTATTTTTCAGATCTTTTCTGATTGGGCAACACGGTCAAAATGGGAAGCTCCAAGCTTTATGGAAAAGCATTGCCGCGGTGGCTTATGAGACAGAGTTTATCCTTGATTCTTTAGCTGTTGGTGGCACTCTTCAGAGCTTCATTGTGCATTTTAACACTGTCATAGCAGAGTCCGAGGTTCTGAAGACGAAGGTCTTCGAAATTTCCCACAGCTGTCTGAGGCAGGCTATGGAAATCGAAAATATTACTACGGCTCACCGTAGGATACCATCAGAACGGAAGATCTCAAGTCTCGATGAGAATGTGGTGGGTTTGAATGATCAGGAACAAATAATCATTAATCGACTCAGAAGGGGGACAAAACAATTGGATATCGTTTCCATTGTGGGTATGGCTGGGTTAGGGAAAACTACTTTGGCAAGGAAAGTTTATCATCATTGCTCAATCTCCCATCACTTTAACGTTCGTTTATGGTGTACTGTATCTCAAGAATACAACAAGAGAAGTTTGTTGCTTGACATTTTAAGCAGATTTGGCAAATGTTTCGCCAGCGAGCACTTAGAAATGACCGAAGATTGTTTGGCTCAAAAGCTCTACCAACAGTTGAAGGGAAGAAGATATCTTGTTATCTTGGATGATGTTTGGGATACTGAAGTATGGAGTAGTTTGAAAATATCATTTCCAGATGATACCAAGGGCAGTAGAATTCTCCTAACCAGTCGACAATTGAATTTGGTTTTGCAAATCAATCCAAACAGTGAACCTCACTGTCTTCGTGCACTCACCAATGAAGAAAGCTGGGATTTATTTCAGACAAAGATACAGTTCGAAGAAGGTTGTCCTTCAGAACTGCTTGCGCGTGGGAAGGCAATAGCACAACGTTGCAAGGGATTGCCACTGATGATTTTAGTAGTTGCTGGATTGCTTTCGGATGCGGAGCCATATACATGGGAAGAAGTTGAAGAAATCCTAGAGAAAGGTAGTGCAGTTGTTACAAATCAGTGCAAGGAGACTCTACAGTTGAGTTATCGACATTTGCCTGATCATTTGAAACAATGCTTTCTTTATTTTGGAGCATTTAAAGAGGACCAACAAATTTCTGTTCGGGAATTGTTGTGGTTATGGATCGCAGAAGGATTCGTGCAGGAAACTAGAAGAAAGAGCTTAGAGGATGTTGCAGAGAGTTACCTGATGGAGTTAATACAGAGAAATCTTGTGATGGTTGCGCAAGTAGGATCTAGAGGTAACGTGAAATCTTGTGTCCTCCATGACTTGTTACACAACTTCTCCATATCAAAAGGCAACGAAGAACACTTCATGCATCGAGTACATTGTCAAGATCAGCCGAATATTTCCCCCGAGTCAAGCATGTTGTATCGATTGCGGGGTCATCTAAAGGGAGTGGAGGATTTCACGGAGTCAAGACTGAGATGTCGTCGTTTACGCACTCTGCTCTTCACAACTGATTCCCAAATGCTCGTTGCTGTACTACCTAGGTATGGTTTTCTGTACGAGTTTTTACGAGCCAAACTTTTAAGAGTTTTGGACTTGAGCCTAATATGTAGCTTCCCGTCATTTCCTTGTGTCATTCAACTACTTGTCCACTTGAAGTATTTAGCCTTCGGAGTCCACTATGTATGTTTAAAAATTCCAGCATCATTTGCCAATCTCTTAAACTTGGAGACTTTCCTTGTTCGGGGTGGTAAAGAAATTTTGCTGCCAAATACCCTGTGGAATATGAAAAAGCTAAGGCATCTTCACGCATATCATGGTCGGTGGGTATTGCCTCCAGAGATTCCAGAAAATAGTTTAGAGAATTTGTTGACACTCTCCGTTATAAAATTTTCTGGAGGTGAAAAGATGATGGAAGTATTGAAGAAGTTACCCAATCTCCGTCGACTAGGTTGTCAGGTTGAAGAGTTTGACATTGTCGTGGTACTGGACTTTTTGAGTCAGCTGGAATCACTCCACCTCCATCTGACTAAAGTTGGTCGGCATGATGTTGATCGCTTTTTATTTAAATTCCCCGGTACACTAAAGAAGCTCACCCTGTCAAGCTTTTGCTTTTCATGGAGAAGAATTTCAATAATTGACGGATTACCAAATTTGGAGGTTCTCAAGTTAGAGTTGAATGCATTTGAAGGGGAACATTGGGATGTGGAAGAAGAAGAAGGGACATTCCCCAATCTCAGGTTTTTGAAATTGTACCGCATGGAATTAGCTAGATGGACGGCCTCAGACGATAAGTTTCCCTCTCTTGAGACATTGGTACTGCAAGATTGCAAAAACTTAGAGGAATTACCAGATTCCTGTTTTGCCCAGAGTTCAACTCTTCAGATGATTAAGGTGATCAAGTGTCCACGAGCAGCGGATTCAATAAAGAAAATTCAGGAAATGCAGATGGATTTGGGAAATGACTATCTGAAGATCCTTGCGGATTTTGAAGTGGATGAAAGGAGTAAGTCCATACTCAAACTCTGTAACTTTTTTCATTTACATTGTTTTTTTTAGGCTAGAAAATAAACTTTCATTTCGTTCAGCTGGAAAACAACTTCCCTTTCCTACCTTAATCGAATCAAGTTCTCCTCGCAGGTTCAAGCGAATAAAACTCGGGAGGTTTGGTTTCCTTATGGAATCAATTTTGACAAGGTAATAATATAACCTGCCTCTGCCTCTTTTTTTTTTTTCTTTTTTTTTTTTTCCCTTTTTGCGTTTGCTTGGTTTAAGGTGTTAAATCGAATCAAGTGCTCCCTCCAAAATATCCTAAATTGAAGTAACGATTAATCGATCTTGTTTTGATAAACAGAGTGGAACTTCTATTAAATAAGTTAGTTCTTGTTTCTTCACAGATGAAGACAAAGAAAATGAAGATAAAGGGTATGACGATTACTATGTAAGTTGAGAGTGAACAGAGGTGCCTATGTCAAGAACATCAATGTAATGTTTGAGTGATTATTGAATCTTATTATTCTAGTGAAGATATATATTTTCTATAACTCTTTAAGTAACATAGGTTTGGTTTGGTTTTTATTTGGCTTCTTTTGCCTTGGTGCAACATCAATTTGCTGTTAATATGCCTAGTGCTTTTAATCTGTGTTTTGAAAATTGGACCGGTGATGGCGGTCTAACCGGTTAGCCCGGGAACCGAAAACCTCACTGGTCCGGTTTGCATGAAAAACCGGATTTTGTATGATCCGGTCAAACTCGGTCAAACCTAGACAAAATCGCGGTTTGACCGGAAACCGGTACCGATTGAACCGGTTTTGAATATTTTTTTTAAAAAATTAATTTTTAAATATTTTTTTAATATTATTTTAACTGATTTTTACTGGTTTTGAGGAATGAACTAACCCGTTAACCTGATAAACTCACCAACCCAATTACGCTAATGGTTCACCTTTCGGTCCGGTTTTGAAAACATAGCTTTTAATCTTTCTTCACAGAATGAGGATTTCTCAAATTGATGGGGATTCTGACATCCAACTATCCAGATCCCTCCTACTAACTTTAGAAGAGCAATCAATAATGCAATATGCAGATGCAATGTGTTGTTGTTTCTGATATTTTTTTCGTCCTAAAATAAGAGTTTTGTTTGTTAGATTAAAATAATTTGATGTACAGAATAAACTTTTTTCCGAAATGGAAGAATTAAAACGTGATAAAAAAAAAAAGAAAAATGTACAATGAGACATGATAAGATCCAAACATGTCCTATCTACAAGTGACACGTTGGTATATATGAACAGTATGTGCTCAATAATTTCTCCCTCAATCAAAGGTGTCAATGTCAAACTCACTCTCACTCTTTTGCTTTTTCACTCTTCAATTTCAGTACACAATTCATCTTTTACTACTGCTTTGTAGTTGTCTTTTCCTCCTTCTGTACTTATCACTGTCAAACCAATTAAACAAAAAGGGGAAAAAATATTCCTTGATCAAGAACTTGTGGTTTCAGAATTCAGAGGTGGTACCGCATGCAGAAGCTTACAGCTCTAAGGACGATCAAGTTTCCCCTGAGAAAGAAGAATAAAAACGAGATTAGCTGTGGTTTGCTCAACTGATGAGTCCTCCATCAATAAGGTACAGATCTTAATTTGCATCTTTATAATTTATGTTAGCTTGATGCGTAAAGGTAAAAACAGTATGATACATATTGTGGCAAATTTTTAGTTTTTCTTACGGTTTTGGCTGACAATTTCCGTACGAACTGGTGTTTAATAATCTACAAAAGTAGTTTGGTGTTCTTAGCAAAATTTTGATGTTTTCAGAACTTTTTTGGGAATCATCTCTATTAAGTTGTAACACTTTTCTCTTATAACCATTCATTTTCGCAGTTGTTGAGAGATATTCTATACTGAGAATTAGTTAGTCATTCAAATGGATCCAGGGATTGAGGAATTGCAACAAATGTTGTCAGACAACTCATTGCAAGCCACCTCTTCTTCATCCCAAATAAATGTTGAGGGAATTCTTGATAGAATAGACTGCCTTCTTCAAAATTTGCAAGATTTTCCTGATATTGAGGACCTAGAAGGAAATCTAAAGTTCTTGAAGAACTTCATTATCTTTGTCATGCTTCAAGGACTCGAGCATTTTCAGGTCGGAGATCTGTTGAATCACGCTGAAGTTGTCCTTGTTGATGTTGCGAGCTTTGTTTCCAAAACAGGGTTTTTTGATCGTCTTGAACCTTTTTATTCTAATGCCAAGTACGAGATTAGGAGCAAGATCGAGCCTTTTAAATTCCCTGTTTATCAGATTTATGTTCGAGTTCTGCAGGAGATTTCAAAATTGTCATCTTCATCCACCCAATCAACACAAAGAAGCCACTCTCTCGAGTTCGCGGACTTTGTTGATTCTCTCATTTCTCTTCTCTTGAGTCGATTGAACCGAGGTACTAGTTTAATCGATGTCTTTCGCAGTCAAATGCATAAACTATATGAGGGACTAAGATTCTTGAGAATCACTCTCGGAGAGCAGAATGATAAGGTTGATGAAAAATGTGAGAAAAGGGATGGTCTCATTGGACCTGTGATTTGTGAGGCAGGAATTATAATTTTCTACCTCTTTCTGTACAGGAAAGATGAAAGCAGGAAGGTTAGAAAATTAGAGCCTCTTTTTTCACATTTGGAGGGAAATTTAAAGCTCATCAAGGTGTCAGAAGAAGAATCACCAGGATATCTACTGAAAACAGCATTTCCTCCCCAAACCAATTTGCCAGGGGTCATTGATTTTGTCTTAGAAAAATTGAAGTCATTCATTCTCAATGAGAACGCGGTTGATTCAGATGTTGTATCAGAGAAAGATAAGTTTCAAATTGTCCATGATGATCTTGCATTTTTAAGATCTATTCTGGCAGATGATATTGGGAAGCAGCAGCTCGATCAAGCTCTCTGTAATCGCATTGCTGCAGTAACCTATGAGATAGAATTTATCCTCGATTCTCTAGTGGTTGGAGGCGACCTCGAGAGCTTACTTGTGCTGCTTAACGCTCATGTTATTGCAGAGATTGAACTTGTCAAGGCTGAGGTCTCAGGGATTTCTCACAGCAGGGGAGAAGCCATCAAAGTCCAAAACATTACTAAAGCTCAAAGTAAGATGGCCATCGTTGTTGATAGGATCCCGAATTTCAATGAACCTATGGTGGGTTTGGATGATGAGGTACAAAAGATAACTGATCGACTCACAAGAGGAACGTCGCAATTAGACCTAGTTTCGATTGTGGGTATGGCCGGGTTAGGAAAAACTACTCTGGCCAAAAAAGTATATCTTCATTTCTCCATCTCCCATTATTTTTATGTTCGTTCATGGTGTACTGTATCACAAGTATACAACAAAAAAAGTGTGTTGCTTGAGATCTTAAGAGGTCTTGTTGATAAATCTGTTGGCGACAAGCTATTGAATATGACCGAAGATGAATTGGCTCACAAGCTCTACCAAGAGTTGAAGGGAAAAAGGTACCTTATCGTCTTAGATGATGTTTGGGATACTGAGGTATGGAGTAGCTTGAGAATTTCATTCCCAGATGATATCAAGGGAAGCAGGATTGTCCTAACCAGCCGACACGAGAATTTGGCTTGGCAAATCAAGCGACATTCTGAACCTCATTGTCTGCGTGCGCTCAATGATGTTGAGAGTTGGGATTTATTTCGGATGAAGGTATTGTTGGAAGAAGGCTGTCCCTCAGAACTGGTTGCCCGTGCGAAGGCAATAGTACAACATTGTAAGGGATTGCCGCTTATGATTCTAATTGTTGCTGGGATTCTTTTGAGTATGGAGCTAAGAACACTGGAAGAAGTTGAAGAAATGTTAGAAAGGGGTGGTAGTGCTGCCATTGCTACGGATCAATGCAAGGAGACTCTCGAGTTAAGTTACCGACATTTGCCAGGTCATTTGAAGCAATGCTTTCTGTATTTCGGAGCATATAAAGAGGACGAGAAGATACCTGTTGGGAAACTCTTACAGCTATGGATCGCAGAAGGACTCGTGGAGAAAAATGAAAGAGAGTGCTTATTAGAGGACCTCGCGAATGGTTACATGACAGAGTTGATACAGAGAAATTTAGTAATGATCTCAGAAAAAGGATCTAGAGGTAATGTGAAATTCTGTGTCCTTCATGACTTGTTACACGAATTCTCAGTCGCAAAAGGGAATGAAGAACGATTCCTGCATCGGTTACATGGCCAAAAATTCGATATTTCCACTGATCAGCCGAGGTTGATGTACCGAATCTGTGTTCATCCCAAAGGCGTGTCAGAATTTGCAGGATCGAGGCAGCTATGTCCTCGTTTACGCACTTTCTTGTTCTCTGCTGACTTCAGTGGACTTCCGAAATCAAAACCTCGGTACTTTATCCCATTTGAGTTTTGCCAGTACAAACTTTTAAGAGTTTTGGACTTGAGGTTAATTTGTGAGTTCAATTGCTTTCCATCTGTAGTTTTACTACTTATACACTTGAAGTACTTGGCCTTCAGTATTGAAAAGGTATCACTGAACATCCCTCCATCAATTGCTAATCTCTCGAATTTGGAGACTTTCATTGTGAATGGTGGTTCCACCATTTCATTGCCAGATACCTTGTGGAATATGAAAGCATTAAGGCATCTGGATGGTGCCTTTTGGGAATTGCCAACCGAGAATCTTGAAGGCGTGTCGAGTTTAGAGAATTTGCTGACACTCAACACTCTAGTGTTTCCTCGTAGCAAAACGTACATGGAAGTAGTTTCTGATGGCCAAATGCTGATGGAAATATTGGAAAAGTTACCCAATCTCCGTCGATTGAAATGCATTCTATACCGGGATCGAGGGAGCGCTATGGATGTCGTACTTGTGGGTGGTCGACTTGAGTCACTCTCCATCAGTTCCACGGATTGTTTTGATTTTCATTTCCCGCAGATTCTAAGGAAGCTAAACCTGGAAAACGTTCGCCTTCGGTGGAGTGGCATTGCAGGAATCCAGAGGCTACCAAATCTCGAGGTTCTCAAGTTGCGAGATATTGGATTTGAAGGGCCTCATTGGGACATGGAAAATGAGGAGGCAGAAGAAGAAGTAGGTGGTACATTCCCCAAACTCCGAGTTCTGAGATTACGGTCTTTGAGTAAATTAGTGAGATGGACGTGCTCGGATGATAATGATCATTTTCCGTCTCTGGAAACATTGGTATTGCAAGAGTGCTTTTACTTGAAGGAGTTACCTTCCTGTTTAGCCCAAAGTTCAACTCTGCAGATGATAGAGGTGAATTACTGCCCGAATGCGGCTGATTCAATAAAGGAAATTCAGGAAATGCAGATGGATTTGGGAAATGAAGATCTGAAGATCCTTATAAGATGAGGCCAATCAAACTCAATGTGGACCTTAATTAGTTTGGAGTTTTTCGAGCAACAGAAAAATTGCAAATGACCGAGAACAATTAATTGAGTGGCTGGCAACTTGTAATTACAAATGCAAATAATAGAGTGGAATGGATCTCAACTTGTGGATTCACAAATCTAATTGCAAGAGGTTTGCGGAATAGTGTAAGTGGGGAATATGTGTAGTGAAAATTGCAAAATGCAATAACCCTGACTAAAGGAAAGAAAAAAGAAAGGCGTGATTTCATAGTGTTATTATTTCTTTTTAATCTATCCTAAGGCTGTAAGGTGTGTGTGTTTCTTTTTTCCCCCTTTTATCAAATAGCTATCATTTATTTCTTTTTTCTTATATATATTATTTCTTTTTCAAAATATCTACCACCAACGTAGTATGTTGAATTGTGTAAAACGTTTATTAATCAGAATCGGGTACCAATAGCAATGCCCCCAACTATAATGACCATTCTTTGAACAACGTTAATTTTTATTTTGATGGAACCATTCAAAAAAAAAAAAAAAAAACAAAACTAATTAATGAGCAGAGGTGTAATGACTCTTATAGTCTTGAAATTATTGTCCAGTTATGATTTTCATTTTTAATTTAAACTGTACTGAAAGTGAAATATCAAATTGAACAATAATTTTGAAATATAGGGAGCATTATCCATGTTCCAAAAAAATAGTCAGTTTATGTCAAAACTCAATGTGAATTATTTTTTGAGATGCAAAAAGTAATAGTTTAAAATTAGTTGTCCTTTCGTGAAATCAACCAATTGCTTGTACATCTTCTTCTTTTACTCTCCTGATCTTGGTATACTTACCCGCCAACCACAAACTCTGCGAATTAATAAGGGATCTCTCAACTTGTGCAAAGTGCAAAGGTTCGTAGAAATTTTAAGAACAAGTAAACTAATAAATAAATAAATAAATAAATTCTGACTTGGTACATATATATCCACAGGTATTTAATTATTAGTCTGGTCAGCTTGCAACCACAACTTATTATAGTGTTTTATTTGACTTTGATGCTTTCTCTATGTACATCTCATTTCATCAAGTAAACTCACTCTCAAGTCTCAAGTTCAACCCCTCCTCAATTTCAATGCAAGCAAGCAGTATCATTTCATTCATTTGTTACCTTTTCTTTCCCTTCTTTTTAAGTCTCTCTACCATCCACCACAAAGAAAATCATTCAAAACAGAAAACAAAAACAAAGGGTTTCTTTCATCAGCTTTTTTTGGGTTGAGTTATACTATTAGTCTGTTGCTGTAAAGGCTCATAAATCTTCTGGTGGATGTAAGTTTCCATTGAAGAGTTGGAAAGAAGGTATTAATTAAGGAGGAACGGAGCGCTTTGGCATTTGCAGTCCGGTGTTTATTCTGCTCAATGATACTCATTCAGGTCCCTCCTTCATCAACAAATTAAGGTACGAATATTATTAATTCCCTTGAGCTTTCCCACTTATGTCTTTTTTTCCGCTTTTGATGATTTTCTTAGGCCGTTTATGATATTGAAATGTGAATTTGTTAAAGTTTCCGATTAAGTCTTCGTTTTCGTTCTTTTTCTCCTCGAATGCTGCATTTCAGATTTGCAAGTTCTTCAATTATTCAAGAGAAGATGTAAATATGCATAACATATACTTCCTCTATTATTTGTCTCGGATATAAGGAGTATTTCACCATTGTATCTCACCTTATATGGAATTTAGTTATTAGATCAAGTTAACTAAATTAATTTATTTTATTTATAAAATTTTTGAATATTTTTATATCCAAAACTTTAAAATAAATAGACCCTAACTCCAAAAGAAGTAAACCCTTTTAAGAAAAGTTTTAATAATGTAAATGATTCATCGATTGAGCAAATATTGATAAGAAATATAAGATTTACATTAGGTTATTTAGATGTAGAGTAGGATATGGTCTACTGATTATAGAAGATAGATTATCCAATAAATAATTGACATATAATGTGAGATATGAGATGAATTTGGTGAGATGAATATTATCCCTCTTTTACAATTTTTAAATGAACAACAAAGAGATGTAGGATGCTTAATGGCTTAGAATGAGGAAAACTGAGTAAAACTAATTCTTTGTCTTTAATATGTTACAAAATTTTCAAATTAACTTTGTAACATTAATGATAATGATTGAAGTAAATTGTAAAGTAGTTAGTTGATGCACAAGATTGAGGGATTGGATTAACTTTTCAACTTCCCTTAAACATTTGTACGCATCTTCGACAAATTTTAGAAAATCCTAATTGGGTTAAATTTTCATTCCTTTGAATAATGTAGAAGCAGTCCTAATATATAGGAGAGTTACAAGAATTACAAACTATATTTACTATAACTAAATAGTAAAAACATATTTACTAATTACATTCACTAACATCCTCCTCAAGTTGGAGCATGAGGATTTCAAATGCCCAACTTACTGAGGAAAAAATCAAACTCACGCTTGCCTAAGGCTTTAGTAAGAATGTCAGCCAGCTGCACACGAGTAGACACAAAACTGGGAGAAATAGTGCCTTTAAGAAATTCGTCACGCACAAAATGACAATCAACCTCAATATGCTTTGTGCACTCGTGAAAAATGAGATTAGCAGCACTGTGAAGAGCTGCTTGACTATCACAATAAAGCTGAATTGGTGAGGAATGAGAAACACCCAGACGCAACAATAAAGACTTCAACCATATCAACTGACAAGTAATAGAAGCCATGGAGCGATATTCAGCTTCAGCGGAAGACCGAGCGACAGTATACTGTTACTTGGTCTTCCAAGAAATAGGAGAATTGCCCAACTGAATGAACCATTCAGAAAGAGAGCGGCGGGTTAGAGGACAACCAGTCTAATCAACATCACACTAACCATAGAGTCGCAAGTCAGAGTCAGCTCGTAACAAAATATCCTGACCCGGATTCCCTTTTAGATACCGAACAACACGAAGCGCAGTATCCTAATGCGCTTGCATTGGTTTCTGCATAAACTGAGCAAGCATATGTATAGAATAAGACAACTCGGGACGCGTAAGTGCCAGATAGATTAGACGACCAACCAAGCGACAATACTGCTCAGGATCAGAGAGAGGATCACCAACGGCAAGTGGAAACTGATGATTCTTCTGATCCAAAGGAGACCCAGCTGGTTTGGCGCCTAGCAAAACAAACATCAGAAATAATATCTAAAGCATATTTTCTTTGGCAAAGAAAAATGCCAGAGGCATTACGAGCAACTTCAATTCCAAGAAAGTACTTAAGGGCACCAATCTCTTTCATGTAAAAATAATTACTCAAGTAAACCTTAAAAGCAGACATAGCGGAAGAATCATTCCCAGAAATAACAAGATCGTCAACATAAATCAACACATTCAGTCGCACAGAAGCCCAGTGAAATATAAATAAAGAATAATCAGAGGAGGATTGGCGAAAACCGTACCACTTCAATGCACCAGATAATTTGGCGAACCAACAGCGAGGAACTAGCTTTAACCCATAGAGCGAGCATTTCAGGCGACAAACCTGACCAAGAGAACTTGAGCAAAAACCTGGAGGTAACTTCATATAAACTTCCTCATCAAGATCACCATGAAGAAAAGCATTATGCATATCCATATGATGAAGTTCCCAGTTTTTTGCTACAGCAACAACTAGAAAAGTGAGAACAGTAACCATTTTGAAAATAATGTAAATTTTAAAATTTATAATAATATTTTGAATTATAAATAATATTTAACAATCAAATGAATTTTATAATATTTTTAATAATTTAAATTTTAATAGAAGTTCAAATTAAATGAAAAGACGAAAATAACCCTGATTCTGGCATGTCAATGGCCGGTCAATATTGAGCTGGACGGAAAAGTGGTGGAAACAGTGAAATAGGACAAAAAAAGTTTGAAAACATAATGTTTGGGACTACGATATTGGAATATTATTGTTAGAGACGTAAAATCAAGTAGACCCAAGTGTAAGGGACTATTTGGACATTTTAGTCTTATTTTTATATTATAAACTAAATTTTCATCAATGAAAACTATTTGAAATGGTCCCTATAGTAGGCGCTACTTAAGGAGATCAAAATCCACATAAAACTTTAAGAAGTCGATGACGATGACCTTGGCGAGCCTAAAATGATAAGATTGTAAATGGACCGTTGACAATTATGCCAAATCATGGTGATCACTATATTGATTTTGATCATGTAACGGTTGTTTTTAATCTTTGTATTGTTGGCATCAAAGATGATGGAATATTGAAACCAAAATTAAAAGAAATTGAGCAAAAGAGGCTTTGTCAGTTTGTGCGTCGACTTCATCAGCCCAACGAAACAGTCGACACCAGTTTTCTATTTTACTATTTTTCTGTTTTGAGTCAAAAAGTTATTTTATGTTATGTTATTTTGATGATTTTCGTCCATATAAATCTTTGGCTGGTTTAGGAGTGTCTTTTAATAATATTAAATAATTGTGACAAGCACAATTATTTAATTAAGTATTTTTACTTATTTTAGGAAATAATTAGAAGTCAAAACCAAATAGGACTTATAATTGGTTTCGAGCTAGATTTTGGCTGGCTTTATTCCCTATAAATAGGGGTGATAGCCATGAATTTTATATGTGTGATAATGATTTGCTAAGAACAAGCGATGTTCTTCTCTTTTGGTTAATCTTGCGAGATTAATTTTGTGCATAAACTTGAATTTGGTTTCATGTAAACTTCACGGCTACCCTTGTTCGAGATTGGTGTTTCTCAACTTGGATGCTGAGTTCATGGTTCTGTTGGAACAAATCGATGGATTTTTTATCGCGAGGTGAGAATTTAATTGACACATTCCGATAGGATTCGTTCCGAAAACCCTTCTTCTATCTTAATGTCTACCATCTTTTGAATTTTTCATTGGATTCATTCTTGAATCAAAATATCCTTGGAGTCGTTGGTTGTCTTGGCGAGTTATAGTTAGAACAAGAGCAATCTTGGTGCCGTAATTTGATACAAGCTTCTGCAAATTAGAGTCGCGATATGTTGTCCCTCAAAAATTCATATCATAAAACCTGCAAGAGTTAGCACTCTATTGGCTAAGTGAATTATGTTTTATGAGAGATAAATGATGGGTGTCGAGACCACCAAAATAAACCTACTTAAATATTGTAGCAAGTGATAAGAATGGTCGACCCCACAGACACGGAAAACACTTAATGAAAATTGGGATCCAGTACCAAAACACTGAACAGAAGTAAAAACAACAAATTGGCAAGTGAGTATATGACTTGGCAAAGTGATGGTAGCCTAGGGTCATCCTCCACTCTACTCTATATACAAATATATTGATTCTTTTAGCTCTCTATGTGGTACAAAACTGATGGGGTGTCAAGCCACACAAATAAATTAACCTACTTCAAACTACGTAGTATAGAGAAGTAAGGTCGTCTCCTCAGGGAACGATGGATTATTTCCTTCAAATTAATGCAAAGATGGATTTTTGGATTGTTGTTCTTAATCTATGATACTGAAATTCAAATAACAAAAACTAAATAAATGAAAAGAAATCAAAGTAACAGACTTCTGAGTCAAGGGATGGATAACTCAATTATTTCATTAATCACAGGCTACTAAAACTACTCTTGCAATTTAAGTATTCAACCAAAGATCTATTAGGATAGCCGTAATAAATTAATTAATCTCCCTAAATTAACTAACCAAGCCTAGCACTCAATTAGTCCTTATCATAATTCGACTGGGCACGATAGCGTTCAATACCAAACAATGACAGCATAAATACCAAGGACATATAGTTGAACCAAAATCTAAACAATTGAGATAGCTGCAACTATTTAGACTTTGCCTCAGTGATTCCACATTTAAACTAACATGCATATTCAATGTCTCACCAATACACATGCTTTGTCTAATTGCTACTCAGTACTGCCGGTTCTTGTCTATTACGTAACATTCAACTAGCAGATAGCACTAGAAAATATATAACAAATCAAGTTGTCAATTTGAATGACATCTATTTTCATAACTCAATACAAGAATCAACAAATACTTAAATTATATGCAAGAAGAATAAATTAAGAACACAACCTCATAATGGAATAACTGAATAAATCCCTTGAATCAGAAAAAAAATCCTTAGCCACTTATGGATGAAAACATGGCGGCTTTATTCTCCATGGAAATTCAAGAAAAATTAGAAGAAATAAAAGATTTGAGGTGCTTAGCCTTGCCTCACGTACGGCTGCCCTAAAAATAAAATACAAGTGTCTCTTTTTATTCAGGGTTTAGGTCAGCCGGACAGTAAAAGAAAAAAATCCCGAATTTTGCAGTTTGGTCCTCCAAGTTAACGTCTTTGTCACTTTTGACCCAAAACTTCTTCAATTTTTTAATAAGGTCCCTAATCGTCGAAATTAGCCCAAAACAC